TCTTTTCCCATGGCGCTGGGGAAGTTCGCACTCCTGACCTTGTGCTCAGCAGCCCAGTGCTGAGCCAGCCAGCAGGACACCAGGGCTCCTTGCTGGCCTGCCCCAATTATATTCTGATGTAAAATGGTATCCTAGCTGGCCCTACTTCTGAAACTTCATGCAACCCCTATTCCTTCCAAATAAAATGTTTACACAGACAGTTCTTCAATTCTTTACCTTCTGGCCAAAAGGGGGTAAAGAGAGGTGAGTAAAGAAAGCAAGGACAAAAGCAATTAAATTTATGTAACATTAATTTTTAAAAAGCTTAAGCAGTGATGTCCCTGTCACCGTGAGAAAGATTGTACTCAGAGCATTGCATTGAGTCACGAGTCAACTTGGGAACAAAGACTCATTCGAGGATACTCATGTTAGTGTGCAAGAAGTTCATCGTTTGAATTTAGTACACTCACTGACTAACATTTTTCCTTTGAATAGAAAAAAATAAAAATAAACCTCATGCAAAATGATTGAACTCAGTTCATAGTGTGTCATTTTTTTAATTGAAAGATTTTATTGGGGCTCTTACAGTGCTTATCACAATCCATGCATCAATTGTATCCAGCATATTAGTACATCTGTTGCCACCATTATTTTTGAAACATTTACTTTCTCCTTGGTTCCTGGTATCAGCTCCTCTTTTTTTTCCCTTCCTCCCTCGAATCCCAAACTCACAATGGGGGTGCCGGGGAGGCGGCACTCCAGGTACAGCCTTCAATCTGTCACGACTGTTACTGTTTGACACTGAACAAGACTTCCACTCTCCGATTCCACTCCGATGGCAAACATGTTCTCCGCCCCCCCAGTCCCCGAACATTCACCCTTCACGGGTCACGTACTGTAATGGCGCCTGTTTCACACTCACGGGGCAGACACAGTTCTGGAGCCGACAGGCTACATCCACTTTCTCAGGTCCACCACCAGGGTGAAACTAGGCCTTTCACATACTAAATCACTTTAAGACTCAGCACTTAATAATAATGAACAATTCATTAAACTCAAATATTTTACCTCAAAGTAACAATTATTAGAAAGCACCCAAGGAAGTAAAATAAGGAAGACAGAATCACCGGCTAGCTAAACAACATGATCCTCCCGCACTGTGGGAACAGGAATAGCTTTCCTGTGGTTTCACGGCCAAGCCAGCCAGCAGATGTCGGCCTGCTCTGAGGGGATTGTGCTTCCTCAGGAGAAAACAGCTGATGGAGGAGACAAATAGCCATATGCTGACTACGCAGGGTTTAGCAGGTGATGTCGGGAGCCACGTTCGACAATGCAAAGAAAAGGGTCAAGGTTCAAATTAATTTTCCTTAAAATTCAAGGTAATTATCCAAGATCAAATTACTTATTAAATCTCAGTTGTGTCGAAGATCTGTGCCAGGCATTAAATAATCAGTGATGTTGAATATAGGATAATACACTCATCAAATATTTTCCAAAACATTTGCTTGACTTTAAGAAACAGCCAATTACTCAAGCAAACACGAAACTATGATTTACAAGATTATAATACATAAATAAACCTGAGTTCAAAAGTGAATTAGAAAAATTGTTATTTCTTAATTAGAAACAGCATCATCTAAACTGTCCACTTGGACGGTTTCATCAGAAGATGCCTGTCTCCGTTGGTAAGGATAAAGAATAAGGCAAAACGGAAAACTCACTGGCACTGGGTCGATCGCAACTCAGAGCAGTGACTGACCGACGGGGCGGTAGACCTGCCTTTGTGGGCTTCTGAGACTTTCAACCCTTCACAAGAACAGAAAGCCTCATCTTTCTCCTGAGGAGCACCTGGTGGTTTCGAACTGCTAACAGCATCCAATGAGCAGCCTCATGCATAACCACTGCACAAGCTGGGCTCCACTACACTACAAGGACCAACCTATACACTATGTATGTGAGTGTGTGTTTGCTTACTTATAAATAGTAAGCCACAATGACAAACATGTTCCTTTACAGAAGGAACTGCCAAAGTTCTAGGTGGAAACTTTATGTTTTTGAGCATTCCAAGCATTAGACTCTGTAACTGTGCGGATGGTTAACTGCATTGGAACTCAATGTTCAATAACAAGAAGCACCGTGTTTTCCACATGGCAATAGTCAGCACCTACAATAGTCAGGCTGGCCAGTGCTCTGCCCTCTGGTCTGTCTTTCTAATAGACTGGTGTAAATGAAGAAACAAACAAAAAATTCTAAACAGAACAAATACAATACTTTTGGTATCTTATTTGACTTGAAATGAATTTTACCAGCAAAATACACAAGCCCAGCGTCTGTATAGAAATGCAGGTTTTGAATGACATTCCAAGCCATTTTGGGGGATTCCAGGATGTGAGAGATGAAATTAGGGAGGAATGAAGAAGTCCAGTTGTTGTTACAGCTGCAAAACTTGGTTTAAAGGCAAATAAAACACAGATAATGTTTTTGAAAGTATTAGCAACAACTGCGCTGTGTGGGACCTGTGGTGCCTCAAGATAGATTTTAATGCTCTTACGTTGGGCTGTACCTTCACCAAGAAAACAGATACAATCTTTGTCTTCCTGTGTCTGAGACTTTGGGGAGAAGAAGAAAACGCTCTTATTTAACTTATGGTAACAATAAAGAAAATAGAAGCTTAATCATGAACTATGGTTAAAAAAAATGAAACACAAACTATAACACTTTTTACAGGTTTAACTTATAATCAATATGGCCCTCGCTTTTTTCCACCTTTCTAATGTAATATGTAACATGCAGCATGTTATATATGTAATAGGTAAGAAAATGTTAGCTTTGTTCTAAAGACACAACACAGCCACTAATGGTAAATGAGCAGTACTTGTTGCCTAAAATAACTTTTTAAAAATAAATTAAATAATTAAAAGACAGGTGCATCTAACCCTTTGTAGTGCTTTGTAGTGCTTTGTAGTGCTTTGAAGCACTATAGTTTTCAAACTTTTAAAAACCTCCAAGACCATTTTTAACTGCACAATAATTTTATCCATAAACATACCAAGTAATAAAAAATATTGCAATGAAGGTATGATTTTAATAATTGCCATTAAGCTAGTATAAAAATGGCAGAAGAGCACCTATAGGTCACTGTTTTATCTGATACTTAAAGCCTATTATAATCAAGATAAGGAACCTTAAACTATATTTGCTAATACAGAGTATTGCTAAATTTATGTCTAAAGACTTATTAATGAGCATTATGTTTAAAAGTACTTTTAGTAAGGTTTATTATTATCTAAAAAATATGTTTTACTGGTACTTAAAAAATATTTTGGAGACATAATAATATCACACCAAAATTTGCAAATTATACATTAAAGAGCTGTGCTTTTTAATATTTTGCTGTTCAAAGTTATGTTGGGTTTCATGTCCATGATCAGTATACTTGTTGACTTAGACAAAAAGCTTTCCCCATAATGGCCTCTCAGCGCAATGGAATGTCTAGCTTCCAGAATTTAATTGGAAACTAATAGTGTCTTTAAAAATATCTACACAAAAGCCAGATTAGAAGAGACAGCTCTCTAAATCCCAGTGCATTAAAGGTACCTTGATCATGAGGCAAAATTGGAGTTTTTTTGAAAAAGAAGATCTGGAGAGCTAATCCAGACTTTCTGTTAAAGTATATCCACCTTTTTTCCCTTCCTTTCTTTCTCTTTTAATTCTGGCTGTAATGTAAATGTTGAGTAGACAACCATGCAGAAGCATGAGCTGTTCTCTGATATTCTTTTAGGATCATTCACAAGAAATATAAAATTTCAAATAAATGTTTAAATAATAGAACTAAATAGTTTTGATATAATTCAAAATGGCTAACATTTTAAAATTTTTTAACTAATTGAATTTTATGCTCATATCAGACATCTTTGGCACACATTAAATACTACAAGGCTCTATGCATATGATCAAGTCAATTAAATTCTCTCTAGGGCTGATTTTACAAAATAACATCATAGAGTTAGCATGATCTGTTTCTAAATAGTTATATATATATATAATTCTATAATTATATAACCAAGCTCTGGAAGACTTGAATAATTGGGATCATGAAAATGGATCATGTAATAAAAATCTTGGGCATAAATTATATCAAAATATTAATCACCTGAAAAATGTATATAGCTATATATATATAGTCACAAATAAAGTTTAATATATTATTTTATACCTGAAGCTTGATGTTAGATCTAAATTTCATCTGTATCTCTTGTTCATATGCCATTTTCAAATTCTGTCAAACATATACAGGATTCTTTCAAAAGAATTAAATATTCTGACTACCCCTTGAATGTGTATAAAAGATCAAAGAAGCCCAGTTCTTATTCAAGCGTAATACATATCTAGTCGCTAGACATAAGTTAACCATTTAATCACTGGTCAACAAACACTTGTGCTAATTTCAAATTAGCTTGTTTTAGTATTTGTACAAAAATATTGACCCTTCAAACACTTCCAGGTTTCACACACCTATTTTCCTTCTTCCAAACACCCTACTGGTGTCAAGAGAGTAAAGATGAAGCACCTCTCTGGATACAGCCTCGCCAGAAATATATTTCCACCACTTGAAAACAACTTAGAAAACCAATTCTTTTCCCACCAGTTGAGTCTCTCTTAATGACGATGCATCTAAAACATCCTGCACTATTTTCTTTTGCAAAGACTTATATTCCTGATATTTCAACCTAAAAAGGAACCAGACATACTAATTTGGGCGGGAAAAAATTCATAGAAAACACCCCCAAAGGAAATGTAAATGAGTTTCAAAATTCTGTGTAAGACACCGCCCGCCCCAACTTAATATTCCAGACGGGATAAGAAATATAGAACATCCAAATACTGTAACGTTTTCATCTAGGGCACTAGAGATTTTCCTTTGCTCCCTAGTTTAAACCAGCACCATTGATCTCTGCATCAACACCCATCCCTGCAGTCGGCCACTCCCCGCCCACCTGGAGGCGGCCCCTGGTACTTACTAGCGACCTCCAGCGATGCGTTGTGGCTCACGGCCTCGCCCAGGTAGTTCCTGGCGACGCAGACGTACACCCCTTCGTCTGGCCGGCTTTTCCTGCCGTGTACGATGCGGAGGAAGAATAAAGATCCACTGGGCAGCAGCATGCGGTGAGAGCGAGGGTCATCTTTGTCCGTCTCCACTCTCTCGCCCCCTTTGTACCACTCGATGGTGGGCGTGGGGCGGCCTTCGGCTTTACAGTTCAGAGTTGCAGGTTCGCCTTTGGAGACAATTAGGTCTGACGGGTGCTCAACAATACGGGGTGGAAAATCTTCCTGGCGAAGACGGGAGCCTGAAAAAGGCGTGACAACATATATTTAGATAACACGTGGGTGCAGTTAAAAGTTCGACTGCAAAAACATATGTTGTACCCCTATAATGACTACATGATATCAATTGTCCTTTCTACTAATTAAAAAAAAACCCATAATATTAAATGGAACAGGGTGTTAGGTGAGGCGATACATTCTGAACCTGAACCTTCTGGACTACTTAATACAGGAAGCCCTGAGGATATGTGCCATTTAAATATCCCCTGTGCAATGAGATTATAATCTGATAAATAGGGAAACTATTTCCTAATTTATGATAGTCCCACCTTACACTCAAGCTCCAATTTTTCTCATGCATTGTTCAATTATAATGATTAAGTCAAGGTAGAACGCTATCAACATTGGCACCTTGCTTTTCTTCTCTATCAATCTGAATTCCTTTCCAAAATCTATCTATCTAATTTATCTCCATGCTTACAACTATGTCCAGTCCCAGGCCAAACTCCCAACAATTCCCACCGCGACTCTAAGAAAGTCTCTTTAAAAGAGTTTCACTTCAAGTAGCCAGATAATAGCCAGCAGAGCTCAGAGATTTGTGCCACTGAGTCAGGCACCCAGAGCACACTGAAGAGATTAATAAATAAATGCATTGTTTGGATGTCTACATCACACACACATGCCATCTGAGAAGGAGAAAAGTAACTCTGTACACATCTTCCTAAACACTCTTGAAATAAAATAAACCTGGACGCTAAAAGAGGTGGATAAACAAGCAACAAAGAGAAAAAACATTACATGGAAATCCAGATAGTATAATGTGATACTGAATTCAAATGACATTTAAATTGAACTTCAGAAATTAAAACTGCATTATTGATCTATACTTTAATGGTAATTCTGAGAGGGAAGTATGTAAGGATGATCAACTGTTGAGGCAACTTGAATTTAATTAAATTTTATTTTAAATGATGAAATATCATTCCAGCTAAGAAATAAGAATGCATAAATTGCAATACGGACACAAAGAAAGGACACCTAAAACTGCCCGAGTCAGAGAGACCTTCCCTAGAAATTTGAAATCGGAGCTATCCCTTGAATTGATTGGGAAGAGAAGAAAGACAATTTTCCCCAGAGACACAGTTTTAAGGGTGTATAATGGTGGCAGGGAGGGAGGGTGCAGAGGGAAGCTATTGAGCCTGGGTCTTAGGTGCATGTCAGAGATTGGAAAGCATGTACCTTAAGAAGTAGGTAAAGGAAGTAATGTGATGAGTTTTGTACATCGAGCCAAATTTCTGAAATCTAATAAAAGCCCCTGGGAAATGATTTTAAGATCTTAAGCAACCTATCAGAATGACCAGGTCTGTTTTGTTGTTGATGTTGTTTATTTTGTTTTTTAATTAAATACTTTGATTGGGGGCTCATACAGCTCTCATCATAATCCATATATTCATCCATTGTGTCAAGCACATTTGTACATACATTGCCATCATTTTCAAAGCATTTTCTTTCTACTTGAGCCCTTGATATCAGTTCATTTTTCCCTCCCTCCTCAACCTTCCTCCCCTGATAAATTATAAATTATTATTTTCATATCTTACAACATCCACTGTCTCCCTTCGCCCACTTTTCTGTTGTTCATTCCCATGGGAAGGGGTTATATGTCAAGCCTTGTGATTGATTCCCCATTCTCCCCCTACCTTTCCCTTACCCTCCTGGTCTCTCTATTCTCCTTATTGGTCCTGAGGCGTTTATCTGTCCTGGATTCCCTGAGTTGCAGGCTCTTATCTGGACCCGTGTGTGTGCTCTGGTCTATTAAGATTTGTAAGGTAGAGTTGAGGTCATGAGAGTGGGGGGAGGGGAGCATTAAAGGACTAGAGGAAAGTTGTATGTTTCATCAGTGCTATACTGCGCCCTGAATGGCTCATCTCTTCCATGTGACCCTTCTGTCAGGGGGTGTCTAATTGTCTACAGATGAGCTTTGGTTCTCCACCACACTCCCTCTCCCATTCACAGTGACATGATTTTTGTTCTGGGTCTTTGATGCCTGATACCTGATCCCACTGACACCTTGTGATCACACAGGGACCGGGTCTGTTGTTGTTGCTGTTGCTTTTTGGGGGGTGACTGTTCTTAGTGTGAAACGAGAGTGGAACAGGTCACGCAAAGAGAGCATCAGTGAGACAACTTTTGCACTTTTAAATTAATACATTCTGAGTACCTGGACTCGGACATTGACAACAGCAGGAAAACAGAAGAACGAATTTAGAGACATACAGTTAGAAAAAAATCAAAGTTATCTACTTACTCTCTAGACCTGAAGAATAATAAAAAAAGGAAAATGAATAAGATAAAGGGAGATTCCAAATTTCTGATTTCAACAATGATTGGACAACAGTCTCAATAAAGGTAGAAAAGAAAAGGGTTACAAAAAAAGGTGGGGGGCGGGGGGAATGAGGCAGGGAGAGTAGAAAAGATGATTTATTTAGCATGAGACAAAATGTAAGGTACTTGTACAACACCCAAATGGAGACAAGTTGCCAAATGAATTAACAAATTGGAGCTCTGAAATGAAATCTTAGCTAGAACGAAAGATTAGAGTAGAGCTGGCAAATACAAGTATGGGCTAGAATAAAATTCTCTAGGGAGAGTGGATCGAGGAAACAACGGCCAATTACAGAAACTGGCGCCCCCTCAGGCTCCACGAAAGGACTGTGAGCTCAGGACTTTCTCTCTCCCTAACCTGCAATCCCCAATCGCTGGACCACAGCCAGAAGATCTAGCTCTGGATCGGAAAACCCTAGTGTCCATGCAATGCTTGCACAGTAGCATTTAGTTAAAAGGTTTTAGCAATTAAAAATGCTCTCCGTATTAGACTATATTTTTAATTCCTAATATTCTGGGAAGCACATTTTACTCACATTGTTACTTGGTATTGTTTCTATATTTTTAAAAACAAGAATTGTCATTCTCAAGGTCTTCAATCTTCTTAATGCACATGACGTTATGCTGAAAGCGGGGTATACTACACAGCACCGAGCATATTTATCGGGCCACTGCACTCATTGTTTTTCTTGTCTTATTGGAGGAACATGGCACCGAACTTGTTTCTGAGAAATGCACTGAAAGTCTACTCTACCTAAGCAGGAAATAATCAATGGGGACAGTGTTGTCAGCTAAGAAGTTTATTTGTCTGTAGCGAAAACACATTTGGAAATCATGACAAAACTATCTAAAGCTCTTATTTCTCATACTGTACAACTTTCAGGAAAGGCACTTTCCAATTCCCAACTGATATTATAGTGAGTGATTGATTAACCAACCCCCAGGGATAAAAATCATAAATAAACAAAATACTGCCATCTAGTCAATTCTGACTCGTGGTGGCCCTATGCCCTGAAGGACAGAGGAGAACTGGCCCTGTGGGCTTTCAAGACCACAATTCTTGAAGGGAGGAGAACGCTTCATCTTTGCCCCTTGCAGGAGAAACCAATGGGTAACCACTAAGCCACCAGGGCTATCATCATTTCTATGAAAGCCATCAAATAAAATACTCTGTTATCAAATCTAAGCAGGGGGAATGTGAATGGCAAATAAAACTAACATTAATGATCTCCCATCTCCTTTAATCACAACAATATCTTTATGAGGTGGGTGTTATGATATCTATTGTCCATATGGAGATTCTTGGCTCTCATTTGGCTGAGGCTCCGTCACTGCCAAATACAAACCCTTGCTCTTTCTAACTTACCTCTGTGCCTGGAGAGCATACAAGGGTTAAGTGCTTAACTACCCACTGAAAGACTGAGGATTCAAACCCATCCAGAGGTATCTCGGAAGAAAGGCCTGGTGGTCCCCTTCCGAAAGTTCACAGCCTTGAAAATCCTATGGATTTGTTCTACTCTGTGCACGTGCATCTTCAAGAGGGCACACAGCAAAGTTAAAAGTTACAGATCAGAGTAGGTAAAAGAGCAAAGGGTTTAATAACGGGCCTAGAATGCTAATGTCAGTGGCCGCCCTTAAGAAGCATGGTGGAACCTTGGGAACACAGCACAACTGACCAAGCAAAACTAGCATCAGGAGAAAGGTCAAAGCAGAGTTCTCCCAGCAACTGCCTGGTTGGAAGATAAAATATAAACACAAATGACGAAAATATCTAAATATTTACCCAACCACAGCTGGAAAAAGATATGCACGTTAAGTGCTGAGTATTCGGAGGAAATATATCAAAGTCACTTGAGATTTATGATGATGAAATCAAACTCCTAGTTGTCTGTAAACCATTCCTCACCCCCTGAAGAAACACACACAAGAAATGCAAAATCAAACTGCTGACTCTAACAGGTTGCACACTGCCAAAAGGGACCGAAATCAGAAGAAAGATAATATTGAGCAATTAGAGCCACGAAGGAGCAGGCAACTGTGGAAGAAACTAGATTCATTGGGGAAAGAATAGCTAGGGGGAAATAATAAAAAGCAAAGAGCCAGGGAATAGTATTGCATCTGTCGGGGAAGTGGTCAAAAACAGACTGGATTCAGACTGCCTCGCCTCAAACCTTAGGCACGGGAGAGTGAGGATAAATTGCTAACCTCTCTCAATGTGTGTTTCTTTACCTGCAAAATAAGGATGAAGTGATAGCTGTACTTTTTGGGTTGATGTGATCCCTAATTCATGGACTCCTGAGCTGAAACATGAATCCAGTATGTTGGAAGTTGACATAAGCCAAAATGTTAAGGTTTATGACCCTTCTCCTCTCTGCTGAGGTTACATTATGACTCATTACTGTGTAGAGAATTCAATTCCCTTTACCCTAGATATGTACGTAAAGTTGCAAAGTAGCCCAAAATTAAAGCTGTGTATTCAACTTGGAGATTTTTATTTTCTATTTACACCGGTCTTGACAGGATCTGGCTCCATTTCAGCAAAATACATTTCAAAGGGGTAGAAAAACAAAACAAAGTAAAATTAGAGCTTCATATGTGTTATGGAGAATGGTCAGAAGTTGATTATAGCTAAAGAGAG